AGTGTGTGTGTACTACAGGAGGGGGGCAAGATGATCCAGTTTTAAAAAATGGATTTTATTTTTTAGAGCAGTTTTAGATTCACAGCAAAATTGAGTGGAAGGTACAGAGGTTTCCCATATACCCTCTGCCCCAACACATGTGTAGTCCCCCCCCCATTATCAACATCCTCCACCAGAGTGGTACATTTGTTACAACTGATGAACCTACATTGACACATCATTATACCCCAGAGTCCAGAGTTTTCATGAAAGTTCATTCTTGGTGATGTACATTCCATGGGTTTAGACAAACGTATAATGTCATGTACCCACATTATGGCATCACACAGAGTATTTCAGAGCCCTAAGAATCCTTTGTGTTCCACCCATTCATCCTTCCCTCCCCCTAACCCTTGGCAACCACTGATCTTTTTCCTGCCGTAGTTATGCTTTTCATACAGTGTGTAGTCTTTTCAGATTGCCTTATCCCACTTAGTAGCGTGCATTTAAAGTTCCTCTATGTCGTTTCATGGCTTGATAGCTCATTTCTTTTTAGCGCTGAATAATATTCTACTGTCTGGATGTACCACAGTTTATTTATCTATTCACCTACAGAAGGACATCTTGGCTGCCTCCACCTTTTGGCAATTATGAGTAAAGAGGCTATAAACATCCACGTGCAGGTTTTTGTGTGGACATAAGTTTTCAGCTCCTTTGGGTAAGTACCAAGGAGTGCAACTGGTGGATCATATGGTAAGAGAATGTTTCGTTTTGTAATAAACCACCAAAATGTCTTCCAGAGCTGCTGTATTGTTTTCATTCCTGTCAGCAGTGAATGAGAGTTCCCGTTGCTCTGCATCCTCACCAGCACTTGGTGTTGTCAGTGTTCTGGATTTTGGCCATTCTAATAGCTGTGCCGTGGCATCATTGTTGTTGTTGTTTTTTTAAATTTAATTAATTAATTTTTTGCTGCATTGGGTCTTCGTTGCTGCGCCTGCACTTTTCTCTAGTTGCAGCGAGCAGGGGCTACTCTTTTTTTTGGGGGGGGCTACTCTTTGTTGCGGTGCGCGGGCTTCTCGTGGTGGCTTCTCTTGTTGCAGAGCACGGGCTCTAGGTGCACAGGCTTCAGTGTTGTGGAGCACGGGCTTAGTTGCTCCAAGGAATGTGGGATCTCCCCGGACCAGGGCTCAAACCCGTGCCCCCTGCATTGGCAGGTGGATTTTTAACCACCGCGCCACCAGGGAAGTCCTGGCATCATTGTTTTGGTTTACATTTTCATGGTGACATAAGATACAGAACATCTTTTCAAATGCTTATTTCCCATGTGTATGTTTTCTTTGGTGAGGTGTCTGTTAAGGTCTTTGGCTCATATAAAAAATTGAGTTTTCTTATTGTTGGATTTTAAGTGTTCTTTGTATATTTTGGAGAATAGGCCTGTTTTAGATATGTCTTTCGCAAATATTTTCTCCCAGTCTGTGGTTTGTCTTTTTATTCTCTTGACAGTGTCTTTTGCAGAGCAGAAAATTTAATTTTAACGAAGTTCAGCTTATCAGTGATTTCTTTCATAGTTCATGCCTTTGGTGTTGTATCTAAAAAGTCATCACCAAGCCTAAGGCCATCTAGATTTTCTCCTATGTTATCTTCTAGGAGTTTTATAGTTTTGCATTTTACATTTAGGGCTGTGATCCATCTTGGGTTAATTTTTGTGAGTGGGGGTGTAAGGTCTGTGTCTAGATTCACGTTTTTGCACGTGGATGTCTAGTTGTTCGTGTACCATTTGTTGAAAAGACTACCTTTGCTCCATTATATTCCTTTGCTCCTTCATCAAAGGTCAGTTGGCTGTGTTCATTTCCAGGCTCTTTATTCTGTTGCATTGATCTATTTGTCTCTTCTCTCACCAATACCACACTGTCTCAATTACTGTAGCTTTATAGTAAACTTTGAAGTTGGGTAGTGTCAGTCCTCCAACTTTGTTCTTCTCCTTCAATATTGTGTTGGTTATTCTGGGTCTTTTACCTCTCCCTACACACTTTAGAATCAGTTTGTTGAGATCCACAAAATACCTTGCTGGGATTTTGCTTGGGTTGCATTGAATCTATAGATCGAGTTGGGAAGAACTGACGTCTTGACAATACTGAGAACTACTAGTGTGTTCAGCCCTGAACTTAGTCCTGGGAGGTAGGAAACTCGACTGGAGTACACAAGAGCACAGGACAGGCTCCCCCAGAGTGTTGGCAATGAAACCGCACCTCGCACAGTTCTAGGCATACAGGCAGTGCTCAATACGGTCACTGGAGCGATGAATGAAGCTGAATCCCAAAGCGCCTGGGAACAGGGCAGTAAGGTGGCCATTCCATGCTATGATGATTAGCGAAGACTCCCATCCTTCAGAGGAAAGGCCTAGCCTCAGGGAAAACTTTGTGGCAAAGGTACTGTTGAGAAGGACACTGGCCAGAAAGACTGCTCTGGACAAGGCTCTTGGGCTTATCAATTAACCTTAATTGATAGGTTAATTCACTGCCTTATTGATTCATTGATTTGTTTAATAAATATTTGTTAAGAATAAATATTTGTTAAGAATCTACTATGAACTCAGGGATCTCCCCATCCAAGACGTCCAGCTGCCCCCTGCAGTTCAAGCAGGACTTCTGTACATGTTTTCTGATGGCTTGATAACTATGGGCTGGGCCTCAGAGCATGGTAGAGGGGCCTTGTATCCCAGCCAGGGATGGCTGTGGCTGTTTTCTGTTTTAAGGCTAGTTTCTCAACAGGGAGGGAAGTGTCATGCTGTTGACGAAGGTGGTCTCAAGTTTGGGGGAGCCTGGCTTGACCTAGCTGAACTCCACTCTTGCCTGCCTGGTGGGGGACCATCCCTGTGGCTCGTTCTGGGCTCAGTCTCCAGGGGCTCGGGGAAGGAAGAAAGGAGGTTCTCAGTCAAATATTTTATTATTTTATCAACATGGAGACGCTTCAAGACTTGAACTGATCTGGGAGCTGTGGAGAGTGAGAAAGAAGGGGAAGGGAGAGGTGAGCCAGCAGGAGGAGACCAAGCAAGGAGCAACAAGGGCAGAGAGACAGGAGGAGAGAAAGTGATGGGGATGGAGAGAAGCAGGGAAGGGCAGGGAGAAGGGGAGAAAGACAAAAGGAGGGAGGGAGAGGGGGAGGGGGGAGGAAGAGGGAGAGAGAGAAGGGAGCCAACCAGAAGGGAGAGAAACGAGGGAGAGAGAAGGGGGGACTGGGAGCTGCTGCTGAAAGAGCCCCGGTTCCACACTGAGGCCCTGCCTGGGGTCCTTCCTCTCCTGCACGTTGGTGTGAGAGCTCACAGCACCCACACGGACACATGTGTACACACAGCCAAACACAACGCACTGACACCCACCCCCTTGGGCAGCGCCTTCAGAAGCTACACTGCTGGGGAGGTGGGGTTGCCACGGTGACAGGTGCTGGAGCACCACCTTATGGGTATTAATAGCTTCCATTGAAGCCACCAAAACAGTGACTTCATCCAGCCAGCCGTTTCCCTGACTGGTTCCTTCTCCCTCCTCCCTTCTTGATTGGGGCTGGGAAGGGCCCTCGGCCGCACAGACCGCTTCCCGCCTCCTGGCAGCCACCTTGGTGAAGGATGGCTTGAAGGCCTCAGGGATTCCATCCAAGGTCCAGGAGGAGGGGTGTGATGCGGTTCTTTGCTCCTCTGAGCTGGATCTAACCACCGCCCCTGCCAGGAAAGGGTTTCTGAGGCACAGGACCTGTCAGAGGGGTCACCCTCAGCTGCTCTGGGTCCCATGCAGCCACACCTACCTCCTCTAGGTCCCTGCCTGGCCAGAGACTTCCAGCCAGTTGCCACTTGACAGTGGTGTCCCCTGCCACAGCACAGAACTCCTTGGAAAATCAAGGGCCAGTCTAGGGAGGCGACCCGGGCTACAAGATTTCAGAGGCGTCACGCTTGAGCTCGAGCAAGTGCAGGGCTGGTGTTGCACGCTGCTGAGAGCGAGTGCCTCCTTCCATTTCACACCAGGGAGGCCTCCCTTGTCTCATCCTAATCCCAGCCCTGTTGATACTCTCATTGTCTCCTCAACCCTCTGGGATCAGGGGACATTTCTGTCCTGCCCTCAGTTCCTTGCCTTGGTCCCTAATGCCTGTCACCTTCCTGTGCGGCTCCCCCGGATCAGCTGTCCTGAGCTGCAGAGTCTCTGGACTCTTCAGGCAGGCACCGGTGTCTTGTCCCTCATTTCCCCTTCCCTTTGACCTCCTCCATCTCTCCCCTGCTTGGCCCACAGCCCCAAGTTTAGACCCCATGGGGCCTGTGACCTCCCTGCCATCCTCTACCTTCGGGGCCTCAGCCCACCCCCATCCTTGGCCTATGCCCCAGCCCCTCCTCCTGAGGAAGGGATGGAGGCGATGAGGCTCCGCGCAAGCCACTGTCAGCAAATCCTACCAAGGGCTTGCACTTGGCCCACACTCCGGGGGAATTAGTCTCATCTATACAGAGTTTTCAGATTTATTCCGATGCCAGCAGTAGCCCACAGTGACCTCATTCCAGCAGACTTCAGGGGGTATATGAGTGCAAGAGAGTGTGTGCGCGCTTGTGTAGAAGTGAGTGTGTGAGAGAGTGTAGAGGTGTGTGTGCAAATGTGTGAGTGTGCTGCCATTCAGAGCCCACGGATTTCTGATGCATGAGTCATCGGCTGGAGTGAGCCTCGGGGAGATACGCCCATAAAAAGACAGCACCCCTGACCTGCCACGTCCATTCTGCAGCTGGCTGGGCACATGATCCTGGGCATCTAAGAGGCTGGGGGCAGGGGTGGGGGCTGTCTTTCCCTCCAGACCCCAGAGAGCAGCTGTCAAGGATATTTCTAGCTCGCCTGGAGTCCCAGGCATTTAAGGATGTGATGCCTGCAATGGGGTGAGGGTGGAGGGCGGGGGAGGGAGAAAATGGTGGTTCAGAGGCTTTCCTCCCAGGGCTCTCGGTGGAGCTCTGCTGGCAGGCAGGGCGATTCACCCATTCCACAAGCATTTTTGGACAGTCTGTCATGTGCTAGGCATAATCCTGGGGACTGGTGACATCATGGTGAATGGAGTTGTCCTGTTCTCTCCCCTCACAGAGCTTATGTTCTAGTGGGGGAGGCACAACAGAAACCAGGGGGAAAGGCTACTTTCAAACTAATTCCAGAAGATAACATAGAGTAATGCTATGGAACATGACTGAGAGTGGTGAGGGTTCTCTAGCTGGGGCGGGCAGTCAGGGAAGGTCAGGAGGTGACACAAGAACTGTGCCTGAATATTGAGGAGCTGTCATATGGAGACTTGAGGAAAGAACCTTCCAGAAGAGGATGGACGAGATGCCTGATGCCAGCCCACGTCCTCGCTGGATTCTGGGTCAGAGTTGCTGTAGCCAGTCAGGGAGCTAGAGGTGATCTAGAGGAACAGGAAGGCAGATTCTCTGTCCTGGGGGGAACCTGTCTCACCTTCTAGCCCTGATAAGACAGGCAGAAGGAGATGCCCCCATGTCTAGGTAGGAGGAGAATGACTCCCTTTCCCTTCCTGCAGGTCCTTGGTAGCAGTGCTGAGCTCCAGGATGGATGAGTCATGTGAACAGGTGACATGCTGAAGGCCCCTTCCTCCAGGAAGCCGCCTTTGACTGCTGCAGGCCACAGAGGCCCCCACCTCTGAGAGCTGACAGAGCCACTTGGTTCAGATTTGGTGGTTCTCTGACGGTTTGTCCCTGAGATTTGTTCCCGCACCTTGGCCCTCCATCCCATCTCCTAGGTCCAGTCTGTGTTCATCTAAAGGCCCCCCAACGCTATGTGTCCAGTAACTGAACAGCCTGGTGTTCTTGTTCTGAGCCTTTGTCCCAGCGCCCCTTGGATCTGACTGAGAGCAAAGGGTCAAGCGCTGGGATTCCTCAACTCACTTCATTTATTCAGTCATCCATCCACTCTATAAAAATTCTTTTTTCTGGTTTACTATGTGCCGGGCGCTGAACCCGGCGCTAGAGAAATTGGAACTTAGGGCTACCTCGCCCCGGGCCTGGCACCCAGGGAACTCACCGTTCTTGCTGTACAGTTTCTCTTGTTTTCAGGACCAAGTTCCACTGTTGGTGAGAGGAATAAACCCAACCCCTGGAGCCTCAATCTCTGCCGGATATTTGACCCCAACTCGGGCCCAGGGACCGCCCCCCCCCCCGCCCCCCCCGGGCCGCGGAGGACTAGTGGCAGCCGGGAACGCGGCGCACCGGGGGCCACATCTGGCTGAGCGGGCGCGCGCGTGTCACTAAGACGCTCATTCACCGGCGCAGCTGTCACCATAACAACCGGAGCGAGGGAATCCTGGCGACTGCTGGGGGCGGGGGCGGCGGTTGCGCGAGGGACCCCGCGGGGGCTGGAGCGTGGCGGCCCTGGGAGACCCACCACCGCGGCAGCGCCCAGCACACCCCGCGCTCCTCGGAGCCCCGCTCCATGCCGAGCCGCCGGCGGGAGGGCGCCACTCACGTTGCAGCCTCGGCCGTCCCCGCGGGCGGGGACCCAGCCGGCGCCGAGCCGCCGAGACTCCGGGCAGGCCGAGCCGCTGAGCGCCCGCTCCGGGAGCCCTGACTCTATGGCCCCGGGGGAGCGCGCCGGAGCCACCGCGCCGCCCGCTACCAGCCAGAACCGGAGCGCCAGCGGGAGGAAGAGGGGAGCCCCGGGCGCCGCCAGCCCCGGCCCAGGGGCGCGCCCGCCGCGGAAAATGGCAGGCAGGTAGAGGGCCCCCGCGGCGGGCAGGCCCCGCCGAGGACCGAGGAGCCCGGAGACTGGGAGGAGAAGAGCGGCCTGCCCGCCCCCTGCCGCAGCCCCACCAGGGCCCTCCCCCGGCGGCGCGCGCGCCGGCGCGCGCACACACTTGCACACCGTATCTCCTCTGCTGCTCAGCCTCGCCTGCCCCCCGCGAGCACCGAACCCCCTGGGGCCGGATGCCATGGGTAACAACTTCTCCAGTATCCCCTCTCTGCCCCGAGGAAACCCGAGCCGGGCGCCACGGGGCCACCCCCAAAACATCAAAGGTAAGGCTCCGCCGGGGCCGGGCGCAGCTGGAGGACTGGGGCGCAGGCGGAGGGGCAGGGAGAGGTGGAGAGGTGTGGCTGGCGAGGCCGGGCAGGTGCCACCTGTTGTGCGTATTTGGAGATGGGAGGTGCACCTCGGCCATGGAGGTGCGCTGGAGGTGGGGGGCTGCTAGTGATGACGGTGAAAATCAGGGAGGCTGGTGTTGCGTGGGGTCTACGCAGTTCTCCCAGCCAGCACCAGAAACGTCACTGGAGTCCCCTCAGGCCATGATGCTAGGCGAGCGTGCAGGGGTGAGGAAGGGCATTTGCCAGGTGGGTAGGGGAGTGTGGCAGGATGCTCGGGCTGGCCAGCTGTGCTTCCCAAGGGAAGCACCATTGTCTCCCTTTTCATCTGCCCATGGCTGGAGAGGTGATGCTGGAAGCACTAGTTGCATTTCCGATTGGAGTGTCTTAAAAATCCAGGACAGATTAACAACAGCCTGGAAGACTGGGCCAGAGCCGGTGGCCTCTGGAGTCCTCTGCAGCTACTGACTTTTTGTATCCACTGAATCAGGTTGTTTTCTGGTTCCCCAAAGGTTAGATGTCCAGTTGAAACTCTGGAAAGGAGGGCCTGGGAGCCTTGAGACAGAGTAACATTTACCGAGAAGGTCTTTGCCCTCCAAGTCCCTCGACCCACCCAGCACCCTCAGGGAGGCCCCAAGCCCTGTTCTTGGCTTTAACTCTTCAGTGCTGTCTCTGACCTTTGGAAGACACACCTGGGTCCTCCCAGGCCCTCAGAGCCCACAGATTCCCTTCAGGAAGCTCCTTTTCTTTCACCCTCAAAACCAGCCAACACTGGCTGGGCATCCTTATGGCTAAGAGTCAGGAAGGGAAGCCCTTGGGCTTTCACAAAGAACAACCCACTTCTTGAGACCCACCCCCACTGACCCCCAGCTTATGAGAAGGATACTAGTAATGCCCTTTGACAAAGCGTTGAAGTTTACAAAGAACTTTCACAAATACCTTTTCAAGTGGGCAAGGAAACTGCTCTGGGGAGTCCTCAGAGCTAATCATGCCCATGTTACAGTTGAGGAGAACGAATGCTTGTTTCACGTTCCCAAAGCCGGAGAGGCAGAACCAGGCTGCAGACCTGTATCTTCTGACTTGGAATTCTGTCCTCTCTTTTGCTGGACAGTTAACCTTCAGGAGTCGGGGAGAGGAGGAGAGGTGGGACCGCCGTCCTGCATTCTAACTCCAACCCTTTCAGAACTTCAGCTCTCACTTGGCTCAGGAAAATCAACGGGTTTGTTGTGTCTTTCTGGAAATTAATATGGCGGTACCTGTCAAGACCTTTTAAAATATCATCTTCATTGACCTTGTGATTCCACCTGAAGAACTGATCCTAAGAAAATGGAAATGCAGGCAAACACTTATGTGCTAGGCCTAGGATGTTCATGGTAGTGTTGTTTATACTAGGAAAACAACCTAAATGAACTGAAATCGTGGTGGATCCTCTTGGTGGAGTATTATGCAATCTTTAAAATAGTATTATTGAAGAATATTTGATCACTTGGGGAAGTGCTCACAGCAGCATAATGACAGTTGTAAAAAGCAGCATACAAAGTTGTGTAGACTGTAAGAGCCCAATTTTGTTAAAATGTTATGAAGGCAAAAAAAAAAAAAAAAAATCAAACAGCCCTTGAAAGAAAGTTTCTCAAAGGTTAACAATTGTTTCCTCTGGGTAATGAGATCACATAAGATTTTTTCTTTTCTTTTTTATATTCTGCTCTTTTCTAAAATTTCTACAATAAACAAGTATTATTTTTTATAATCAGCTGTAAGTATTAGATGTATGAAGACTGTTTCTGAGCATTGAAAACAGATTTATAATGATGGAGGAACCCGTGGTTGTCATCCAGTTCAATGTCCTCCCTTACAAGGGAGAAGAATGAGGGAAAGGGAGAGTGAATTGACCAGTTACTCAGTGGGTCAGTTAAGAGAAGGTGGCAAAGCCAGACTAAGTCCTTCAAGGGCAGGGGTTAGCTGGGGACCGGTGAGTTGACTTGGTGCTTGAATGCTCACCAACTGCCCCAAGAAGGCTGTGCTCCATCCATGACCCTAGGGAAGCCCAGCAAAGGCCTCCATAATTGCACCCCTTTTAACCTAAATTGGGATTGTGGGGATGTGAGGTCTCTGTGGCTGGGGTCTTTGGCAAGGGATGGTGAGCAGGAGAGGGTCTGAGGCCCTCCCATGTCCCTGCTCCCACCCTAGCCTCCTCCTCTGCCTGAATCCCCACCTATCTGGCCTGGGAAGGCCCCTTTTTGCTGCCTCCCTGGTTTACAGAGATCAGTTCTTATTCAGTGGGAGTAAATGGTGGAGAAATTCTCCCTGCCAGCAGTCTCCCTCCCACTGCCCATCTCCCTTCAGGCTCAGCTTACCAGAATCCACTCTCCTCTGTCCCTAACCACAAACCTAGGTGGCCGGGAGAATTTTGGTTCTGCTCCTTCCAAGCCTGAGATGAAGGATCAGAGCATGCCGTGAAGGCTGCCCATGGGTTCCTTCATCCAGGGTCCCCTTATCCTGCTTCTCAGCCTGACTTTTCCCCATCCTAACAGAGCCATCAGTTTTATTCTGTGATTGTTTTAATGTTCACTCCAAGTTCCTTTCTAACTGTATCAGCATTGACCTAGGAGTCTTCTCTGATACATCAGTGGTCATCCAGAATTCCATCCCCATTTTATTGGTATGACCTTGATACTGGCTGTGATTCCAAGACTGTTCACCCTGAGTTCTGCTGGGACAGCTTTCAGCTCCGATTCTTATCAGTGTGCATCCAGAAATTTGCTGGTGGGAGGCAGGGAACTCTCGATTTTTTTTCTCCTTCCATAATTGCAATCTATTGATTTCTCACCATTTTAATTAAAACAACTGGAAAGGACCTGGCATAACAGGGACCCTGAGACTCACTAGAGATCTAAGATTGGTCTGGCTGTCAGGCTGACGTGAAATGAGGCTCGTCCATCACCTGTCAGGTGGTAGACTTTGGTCTTCTTCCTGAAGACACACTGACCTCACTCCACTGCTGGTGATTCCCACTGGGGTCTGAACAGTGTTGGTCTAGGAGTGTCCACGGGAGAGGTCCAAGGTATAGCTCTGGGGTTAGGACCAACAGACAGTTATGAGGAGCTGCCATGTGCCTGGGTCAGAGGTGAGGGCTCATGACATCTCTGTAGATTCACAGACTGAAGATGTACTTGATAAGGTAGGACTGAGGGAAGGAATGGAATCAAATGCTTGGTTGGATTGTTGAAATCCCAGATATGTGTGGGCAGAGGTCAGAAATGGGGGGTCAGGGAAGAATTTGAGCTGGACATGGAAGGAACTGTAGAAGTTGGATCGATGGCAAGGGGTGCAGCGAGAGTCCTAGGGTGTGGAGAGGAGGGTAGGGCAAGGGACGTGCAGCAAAGGCTTGGAGGTGGGATGAGTGAGTGTGTGTATATATTCTCAGTGATGGGAACGGGGTGACTGGGGCAGGGGATTCACGTGTCATGGAGACAAATACAGATAATGAAGATCTTCCTCCTTCCCCATCTCTTTCTGAGTGCCTGCCTGCTTGGTGCTAAGTGTTGGGGGAAAGGTAACTAGGAATGCCTATGGGGAGGACGACTCAGTCCCAGTGGTCACCCATAGATGGGGGTTGGATAGGCCACCTCCTATCACTGTTTTTTTTTTTTTATTGTGGTAAAATTCACATAACATAAAATTCACAGTTTTAACGTTTTAAAGTGTACAATTAACTGGCATTTAGTACAGTCACAATGTTGTGCAACCACCGCCTCTGTCTAGTTCCGGAACATTTTCATCACCCCAAAAGGGAAGCCTGCACCCATGAAGCAGTCACTCCTTATTACTCCCTCCCCTGAATCCCTGGCAACCACTAATCTACTTTCTGCCTCTAGGCATTTGCCTATACTGGACATTTCATATAGATGGAATCATACTATATTTGTTCTTTTGAGTCTGATTTCTTTCACTTAGCGTAATGTTTTCAAGGCTTATCCATGCTGTAATATGTATCTTCTTTCCCTTCTGTGGCTGAATAATGTTCCATTATACAGATATGCCACGTTTTGCTGATCCACTTGCCAGTTGATGGATATATATATTTTTTGCGGTACGCGGGCCTCTCACTTTTGTGGCCTCTCCCGTTGAGGAGCACAGGCTCCGGACACGCAGGCTCAGCAGCCATGGCTCGCGGGCCCAGCCGCTCTGTGGCACGTGGGATCTTCCCGGACCGGGGCACGAACCCGTGTCCCCCGCGTCGGCAGGCGGACTCCCAACCACTGCGCCACCAGGGCAGCCCTTGATGGATATTTTTGATGGCTATTTGGATTGTTCCACCTTTTGGTTATTGGGACTTTTGTGCTGTGAAGATCTGTGTATACGTTTTTGTTTGAACACCTGTTTTCTGTTCTTTGGGGTATATACCAAGGAGTGAACCTCCATCTTTTCAAAGCTGGTGCTTTTGCATTGGACATTTCACAAAGCCGCTGGTTGTGACAGATGTAGGGAGGTTGTCTCCGTCCAGCTTTGGTTGGGTGTGACACCAGCCAGACACCTGTTGTCTTCAGTCTCTTTTCCGTGGTGGCTGAGGCTCCCGGCAGGCAGAGGGAGGAGCTTCTAAGGTTGGCCAAGGAGCTTTGATTCTTTGAGGTGGACCGGTGTGAGCTACAGGAACTTTCTGCAGACCCTGAATCTCCTCACTGCTCCCTGAGGCCAGGGGTGGGGGATGCATTCTCCTAGGACAAGGCCCTAGCCATTTTCCAACCTTCACAACCTTGCTGCTACTTTCCTGATCTGGGTCCTCCTCCCAGATCTAGCTGGCCTCTTTGCCTCCCATTCCTCCTTTGATGCCAGAGGGATCCTCCTAGAGTATGCCTTTCATCTCGCCCGTCCCCTATCAACAGTCTTCAATGTCATGACCCAGCCTGCCATAATCGGAAATTCAAGGCCTCCATTCT